GCTGTGGCTCAAGTGGTAGAGGGCTAGCCTTGAGCTGAAGAGCTGAGGGACAGCACCCAGGCCCAGAGTTCAGGCCCACAACCGACAAAAAAAAAAAAACAAAACTTACAAGCCATGCTGGCGTCGGTGGCTCACACCTATAATCCTAGCTACTCAGGAGGCTGAGATCTGAGGATCACGGTTCAAAGCCAGCCCAGGCAGGAAAGTCATGAGATTCTTATCTCCCAAATAAACCACCAGAAAACTGGAAATGGTGCTGTGGCTCAAGTGGTAGAGCGCTAGCCTTGAGCTGAAGAGCTGAGGGACAGCACCTAGACCTAGAATTCAAGCCCCACACTCAATAAAAGAAAAAGAAAAAAAGAAACCACAACAATTTACAAGCCATGATATTTTTTATTACATAAATGAGGATAATTTTTAATCCAATCCATCTGCCTTGACAGTTCATCTAAACTTTTTAAAAGTATCAAAAAAAAACCAGATGGAATTATGTATGTGTTCATTTTCATACACAGTACAAATGTAGAATTTAAAAATAGCACAGGGGCTGGCTCACTGGTAGATCACTTGCTTACTACATACAAGGCCCTGGGTTCTATCACCAGGACCACAAAAGTAAAATAAATGCATTAAAATAACAAAAGCAGTATGTTTCCTATTTTTCAGACCTAGAGACTTACTTGTCCCTTTGAGTAATAAGAGTATCTTTTTCTTTCCCTTCCTCCCTCCCTCCTTTCTTCCCTTCCTTCATTCCTTCCTTTTTTTTTTTTTTTGTCGATTGTGAGGCTTACACTCTGGGCCTGGGCACTGTCCCTCAGCTCTTCAGCTCAAGGCCAGCACTCTACCACTTGAGCCACAGCACCATTTCCGGTTCTCTGGTGGGTAATTGGAGATAAGAGTCTCATGGACTTTCCTGCCGAGGCTGGCTTTAAACTGTGATCCTCAGATCTCAGTCTCCTGAATAGCTGTGAGCCACTGGCACCCAGCTGAAGTATATATTTCATTTACGATAGATATTCTCAAAGTTCTGGTGCAGAATCTGTACTTCAAAAAACTTGGCTACATGCATGAAAAAGAATGTAGCAGGCTTTCCCATTCTTTGTGCATGCTGACCCTCCTCCTAATTGGAGGAATGCTTACTTCTCAGGAATCTTGATTAGACAGAAACTAAGGCCATACACTGACTTTTCCAGCTGGGACTGCCCCTAACACTGGCCACATTACTCACATCCACCAATCAGAGGCCCTTCTCTGGTTAGAGGGATACAATGACCTAAAAGAGGGGAAATTAGCAAGGCCTCCTCTCTCAGGTCAATGTGCCAGTTTGACAAAACTCATTATGCAGGGTACATGTTCCGAGATGTTCTGATTTCATGAGAAAACTTAACTATTAAGTCACCTGGGCATAGTCTGAACAACCCGGCAGGTTTCTAATGAAGTTGTGTACATCATCCACCGTCCACATCTGAATATCTTCTTCCAAAGACATATTTTCTCCAGTTGTAATTTGTGCATGTGCTCCTTTAAAATGAGAGGCAATCACACTATTGTATAAAATTTCACAGAAAAGGAGGAAGCTTAGAATACAGGTTTTCATTGTGTGAATCTTTACAGAGTGACCTGTTATTTATTTTTTGTGTGCAAGTACTCTGGCTTGAATTCAGAGCCTAGGTGCTGTCCCTTAGCTTTTTTTGCTAAACACTGGAGCTCTACCACTTGATGTACAGCCCAACTTCTAACTCTGTGCTGGTTAATGAGAGATGCAAGTCTCACTGACTTCCCTGCCCAGGTATGAGCATTGATCTTCAGATATCAACCTCCCAAGTGGCTAGGGTTACAGGGCTCCAGCAAAAAAACAAAAATGAAAACAAAAACAAGCAAAAAACACTACGTAAGAACACAAGGCCCTCAGTTCAAATCCCAGTACCAGCACAAGAGAAACAAATTAAATGTTTTTCTAGAGAACTTTAATGCTACTTTTAGTGGTAGCATGCTAACAGTTTTCAATGAGACAGAATCACAGCAGCCATGCCTCTAAACACGAAGATTCTTGTTTAATTGCCTAGTTTTCTACTTTTAGGCATAAGGAAGATATCTATATACTTTTGAGCAAAAAGCCTCTTAGTTTTTTGTTGGTGGTGGTTTTGCTAGTCCTAGAGCTTGAACTTAGGGCCTGGGCACTGTCCCTGAGCTTCTTTTGCTCAAGGGTAGCACTCTACCACTTGAGCCACAGCTCTACTTCTGGCCTTTTCTGTTTATGTGGTACTGAGGAATTGAACCTAGGGCTTCATGCATGTTAGGCAAGCACTCTATTACTAAGCCATATTCCCAGCCCACCCCTTAGTTTTTTGTTAAAGAAATTAAGATTTTTAAGATTTTTCATAAAAGTTCTAGTAGCCAGGTGCCGGTGGTTCACAGCTATAATCCTAGCTACTCAGGAGGTTGAGATCTGAGGATTGTGGTTCAAAGCCAGCCTGGGCAGGAAAGTCTGTGAGACTCTTATCTCTAGTTAGCCACCAGAAAACCGGAAGTGGTGCTATGGCTCAAGTGGTAGAGCACTGGCCTTGAGCTAATGAGGGACAGTGCCCAGGCCCAGAGTTCAAGCCCCTACAACCAACAACAACAACAACAAAAAGTTCTAGTAGCTCCCCTGTATTACCATATACCCACCTCAGACCTTTTTGAGAGATCTCTACTCACAGTAACAATATTTAAATAGCAACTAGTGTCACTAGTATGGCTTCTTACAAGTGATCTAAGGAAGTGACTTCAAGAACAGGTTATTTTAAGCAGGATTAAGAAAATGAGGGGTGGAGAAAAAGAGGGATAGTGGTTACAGTTTCTTGTGTGAGGAGGTGAGAATTTGATGACCTGTCATTAGGAAAGTTGGCCTTTGACCCCTGGACACTCACCTGGTAGAGACAGGTGAGAAACTGGAGCACAAATTCCACCCTTCTCAGCATAGGCTTCCAACGCCTGCTCAGAAGGCTTGCTTTCCCCCACATCGCTGGCCTGTGTGTGTAGAAGTACGGCAGGGGCTGCCCAGGGTTTTCTGTGGCTCGACTGGCCGTCTCCACAGCGGCAGTCCGCAGCTGTGGTTGGCTTCCCATCGGTTTCACCTGACTTCTGATTAGGGCATATTTCAATTTCTGGATCTTTTCCATACTCCTCTTGTTCAAAGGGAATCGTATGTGTCTGGATTGGGATATTTCCTTCTGCTTGGCTTTTGGAGTTTTCCATATGGCTGTCTGGAGGTTTCGGATTCCCTGTACCTCTTCTGAGTTGACACTTCTGCTCCCAGCTCTCTATAAAGGGATGTCTGCTTGCCACCAGCGTGGGGTTTCTCACTGCACTTCTGTGAAAATGCAGGTCCCTGGCAGGCAGCATGGGCCTACCATGGTAGGAGGCTGGGCCGCTGGGCCCATAGAGATAGGGCGCCCCAAGGCCCACTGGTTTTTTGGGATTCACATTTCCCATTCTCCTTTGCTGATAGATAGCATACATTTCCATTTCATCCCTAAAAACAAAGCAATATGTTTTTTTACCATCTCCCCATGGAAATCCCACAGCAATAAACAGAGTTCCCTCATATACCTGAGGCACATTTTTTTTTTTTTTGATCAGTTCAGGGGCTTGAACTCTGGGCCTGGGCGCTGTCCTTCAATTCTTCAGGTCATGGCTAGTGCTCTACCACTTGAGCCACAGTGCCACTTCCAGCTTTTTCTGTTTCTATGGAGGAATTGAAACCAGGGCCTCATGCATGCAAGGCAAGTGCTCTACCACTGAGCCACCTTCCCAGCCTAACTGGGGCAGATTTAGCAGGGGTGTGGGCAACAAGGCACAGGGTAGCTTCTTGCCAGATATGAATTCTCCAAAAAAAAAAAAACTAAGGCACCAGGAAGAGATTCTGTTTTACCCTACAATATCCTCTTAGTGGGCCCCAAGAGGCAATTAACCAATAACAGTCTAAATGGTAATAAATTAATCCAAGTGTCAAGGGAAAGCAGGAAAGGGAGACTTACTGGTTTTTGCTTATTGGTCTTCACTATGACTCCTTAGGGTACAGTGAAAATGACCTTCTCTCTCCATGAAGCCATACCCTAGTCACTACTGCTATGCTTTCCTTTCTCTTCATGGCCATAGGGGAAGGCCACTGTTGAGCTGATGTGATGTCTGAGATCGGCTGATATGGTCTGAAGTGGCGTTGGCAAACATGGATCCTATCTTTGGGCAGAACTAAGGTTATATATGTAGGCTAAGACCATGCTTAGCTGCACTATGTGGCTTTGTAATCTTGCTTTTATCATTTACCAATCTAAAAATGTTTGCATGTTTTCTTTTTGGAACCTGCAAAAATACTCTTTATAAGCAATTAAGGCATGTATGAATATGTGTATGTATATATTCATATATCATATATATTCATTTATACATTACATTTTATAATGTATAATATATAAAACATTACATATGTAATACAAGAAAATATATTCACACACATATCTACCTATACACATAGAAAATTAAGTAAGACAACAGCATTACGTTACCTGGCAATATGATGCCTCTGAATCATTTCATTTCTTCTGGTCACTGTCTTTATTGAATCAGGTGGTAAAATGCTCCAACCTTAAACAAGAAAACCACCATCCCATCCCACAAACAAATTAAAATCATGCATTTGAAGATCATAAGATTATTTAAAACACAGTAACAACATCAACCTGACAGAAAAGCACAGTGTTGGAAATGATACCAAGTTATTGATGCTCAGGATCATAGACTGACTTGGAAGGAAGCATGGTACATGCTAGATAACTTAGGGTTGTGTGTGTGTGCATGCACGTGCACACATACACTGTACTGGGGCTTGAACTCAGGACCATGTGATCTCACTTTCAGCTGCTGCTCTACCACCAGAGCTATTCCTTCAGTTCTGGCTTTTTTCTGGTCAATTGAAAATAAAGTTTCATGGATTTGTCAGTCTAGGCTGGCTGTGAACAACAGTGCTCAGATCTCAGCCTCCTGAGTACCTAGGATTACAGGTGTAAGCCATTGGTATTGGACTAAAATTTTGGTTCTTTTCTTGAATTGGTAGCCTTATGATTGGTGAGATTTCTCTGCTAAACTTTAAGTTTTAAAAAATAGCTCTGTAGGGGATGGGAGGGTGGCTCAGTGGTAGAGTGCTTGCCTTGCAAGCCTGAGGCCGTGGGTTCGATTCCTCAGCACCACATGAGAAAAAGAAAAAAGCCGGAAGTGGCGCTGTGGCTCAAGTGGTAGAGTTCTAGCCTTGAGCTGAAGAGCTGAGGGACAGCGCCCAGGCCCAGAGTTCAGGGCCCATGACCGGACCAAAAAAAAAAAAAAAAAGCTCTGTAAATCTTCAATATGTCTTTTTTCCTCTCATATAATTGTATGCATTTATGGTGTACAAAGTGGTATTCTGATACATGTATACATTGTGGAATGATTAAATCAAGCTAATTAACATATCTGACATCACACATCTATCCTTATTTTGTAGTGAAAACATTTGAAATCTACCTTCTTGACAACTTACAAGTATACAGAACATTACAACTTATATGTGTTTGTTACATAATAGACCATGCTACATGACCTTATTTCTCCCATCTGAGCATTTTACCCAGCATCCTGCTCTTTCACTTTTGAAGTAAAAATTAGTGTTTCTTTTGTTCAAAATATTAGTTGACTTTTTAAAAAATAGAATGTTTCTTAATGTATAAAAATTAATATAATAAGGATTTAAATAGATAAAATACAATTACATTAAGTTCTCTGTAGACTTATTCAGTATATCTCAGGCCAAATACATTTCCCAGAACAGTTTATCAATGGAGTTAGATAGCAATTATATCCTTTTGTTCATGGCAGCCTTCCAAAATACCCTGAACAGTAGCAATAGCAACAGATTTCAAGACTCTTTTTTTCTGTGTGTATGCCAGCCCTAGTGCTTGAACTCAGATCTGGGCACTGTCCCTGAGCTTTTTGCTCAAGGCTAGTGCTCTGCTACTACTGGAGCCACAGCTCCACCTCCAGCTTGCCTGCCTTGCCTTGCCTTATCTTGCCCTTCCCTTCCCTTCCTTCTTTCCTGTCTGTCTGTCTGTCTTGTGCTTAATTGGAGATAAGAGTCTCAAGAGCTTTCCTTCCCAGGCTGGTTTTGAACTGAGATCCTCAGGTCTTAGCCTCCTGAGTAGCCAGGATTATAGTCATAAGCCACAGCCACCTTGCAAGGCTCTATCTTTTACTGTTTTATTTTTTCTTTTGCTTTATTTTGTCTTTTCCATTGTTTTAAGATAAAGTATAGTCTGACTAGCCTCAAATGCTCTGTGTAGCAGAAGGTGACCTTGAACTCACGACCCTCTCACTATGCAGTGTAGGCCTCTGCCCGCGGTGTTGAGGCTCTAGTCTTCCCTAGTAATTTCATGCTGTATTGGTTTATCCTGCCTTTGGACCCTTCATGCACTAATAGTCTATCTTGGTATTTTTCAAATCATCCGCAGTGAAGGACCATCTTTATATATTTTTGCTTCTGTTTATCTTTCAAACCCACCAGGGAGCAATATTTTATTTTTGAAGTGCAACAGAATAATTTCTAGGAAATTGAAAATTAAAATAGGCAAATATAAGCACAACCTCAAAATTATTAGAATTGACCGACATGAAATTATGCTGTCAAATTACTAAAAATTTTCTAATTCTTTACTTTTATTTGCACTAATACCTCACAGAGTGAGGTACTAATACCTCACAAAAGTGATGAATTTGCCCTACACAGCTTTGCTCCATGAAGTTTTATATGTGCGAATATTCTTCCCCATAAGAAGCAACTTTACGACAAACTATTTCTTTAAAAAAATTTTTTTTCAGTCGCTCATGGGACTTGGACTCAGGGCTTGGGTACTGTCCCTGAGTTCTTTTGCTCAAGGCTAGTGCTCTACCACTTTGAGCCAAAGCTCCACTTCTAGCTTTGGAGTGTTTAGTTGGAGATAAGAGTCTTACAGGGACTTTTCTGCCTGGACTGGCTTGAAACTGTGATCCTCAGATCTCACCCTCTTGAGTAGCTAGGATTACAGGCGTGAGCCACCAGCGCCCAGCAAAATCTTACCTCTATACTCACTTTGCGCCCTAGGAATAGAACTCATTTACCTGTAGTGGCCAGGTACTGGTGGCTCACACCTGTTATCCTAGCTGCTCAGGAGACTGACATCTGGTGGACTGTGATTCAAAACTAGCCTAGAGCTGGGCACCACACCTGTAATCCTAGCTACTCAGGAGACTAAGATCTGAGGATGACAGATCAAAGCCAGCCTGGGCAGGAAAGTCTGTGAGACTCTTATCTCCAATTAACCACCAGAAAACTGGAAGTGGCGCTGTAGTTCAAAGTGGTAGAGCACTAACCTTAAGAAAAAAAGCTTAAGGGGCTGGGAAAGTGGCTCAGTGGTAGAAAACTTGCCTTGCATGCATGAGGCCCTGGGTTCGATTCTTCAGCACCACATAAGCAAAAAGAAAAAAAAAAGCCAGAAGTGGCACTGTGGCTCAGGTGGTAGAGTGCTAGCCTTGAGCTGAAGAGCTGAGGGACAGCGCCCAGGCCCAGAGTTCAAGCCCCCCGACCGACAAAAAAAAAAAAAAACAACCCTGAGTTTAAGTATCAATACTTGCATGTGCACACATGCACATGTGTGCACTCTCTCTCTCTCTCTCTCTCTCTCTCTCTCTCTCTCACTGGGAATCTAGCTTGAAACAAACAATGTATCTTTTTAGAAATGAGGCATGTTATTCGTAAAATTCAGGAGTCAGAGGAGGTGCCTCTAGAAATCCTTGAATCCTAAAGCTCTAGGTTTTCATGGTTCATTAATGTCATGACATCCCCTTTAGAGAGCTGGCATACATGCCACTCCTAATCCAAGGGGCACTGCCCATGAGTCAGAGAAAGCCTAGATGGGAAGTCCATACAAGAGGGCACAATATCAATTTCCTGGATTTTAGGACCCTCTAAAATATGTACTCACCAAACCCATTCCAAGTTCTTTCTTTTTTCCCAAGGGAAATCAAACTTAATTGCCAGCTCAACTATACTAATCCACTCCTTCTTAACACCCCAAGTTTTGAAACCTGTCCTCATGTTATTCCTACCTTTCTAACAGTAATTGGAAACAGTCTGTGTGGTTTTTCCCTGCCTTTGCTATATGGTTGGAATTCATCTGTGAGGCGCAAGCCTTGGTCCATGTCCCTGGAAGAGGTGGCTGACTTGCCTGCTTATATATCCAAATGTCCATTTCTGGGTCCTTCATCACTAAAAGGGACCCTCTCAGCCAGCAAGGTGACTGTCTCATTGGTCTGCTGACAAATTACTACTGGGGCTGCCATGTAGTCTGGCTGCCAAGGACTTCCACCAATGATCTGTGGCCAGATCTGTCTCCTTTGGCCTTCCCTGCTCCACCAGAGGGGTTCAGTTTCCCATGTGGCCTGTGCTTGCTGGGTACTCACTCTCATAGATGGGGCCAAGTGGAAGTCAAGGGCTCTGCTACTGAGCTATAGCCAACCCAGCCCAGGCTGTATTAACTGCCCAAACCGCTGTTTTGAGATTATACAACTCTGCATTTATTATGAGTACATTGATGCTTCGAGGAGATAAGCAACTCACACTTGATTGCACAGTGTTGGCACCATAATATGAATGAACCTGGATGGCCACTGCAGAAACTAGAAGCCTAAAGCTCTCCATTGAGCAATGAAATCCTGTTCATATGACAGCACAAAAGACATCTAATGCCCATACCTGAGTAGACACAACTGGACAACAGATGTGGCATACTTGCATTTGGTAGAACAGAAGAACTGAATTGAGAAGGAACACAAAATTGCCTTGGGTCTGTGGAAGCTATGGTAGAAGACAAGGCATCTCTAGAGGAAAGAAAAAAAAAGATATAAAATAGGTCAAATGAAGCCAAAGTTGTACAGAAGTTCCACTGCCAAGGCAGTAAGATTATTTTTGTGTGTGCCAGTACTGAGACTTGAACTCAGAGCCTGGGCACAGTCCCTTAGCTAAAGCTGTTACTCTAAGGCTGGTACTCTACCATTTGAGTCACAGCTTCCCTTCCTGGCTTTTTGCTAGTTAACTTGGGATAAGAGTCTCATGGACTTTTTTTTCCTGGGCTGGCTTCAAATTGCAATGATCAGATCTCAGCCTTCTGAGTAGCTAGGATTACAGGCATGAGCCACCAGTGCCCAGCTAGGCAGTAAGATTTCCTATTGTCATGTAGGATTCTATTGTCTCTTTCTAAATGGAAATATAAATATATGCAGTTTATATTGGTTTCAGTGGAAATACGGTGAGAAGAATCAGGAGGAGGAAGGAAAGACTGACCCAGTTAACAAAACAAAAATAAAAAGCAGGATGTATCAGAAAAAAATCAAATCAAATCAAAAATACTTTGTGATTTCTTATCATCAACATTCTCTTCTTCAGAAAATTCTGTTCTTAGTTAATGGACATAGTGTTCTATCTAGGATCCATGATTGACTACCTGGGCACATAATTAATTTATCGACAAAATGTCAATGGTCTTCATTGACTCCAACTTTCTTGTTCACTCTCCAGGGACAAGAATAAGCAGGGGGTCTTATTTCCCTTGTAGAATGTCAAAATATTTTAGGGCTCCAGTGGCAGAGCACTTGTCCACCAAATGCAAGACTTTACATTCAAAACCTAGCACCACTAAAAACAAAACCAACCAAAAAGAATGTCAAAATATTCCAAAGAGAGGTAGATAGAGTAATATTAGAGCATGTAGACAAAATTCTTATGATTTCATTGTTATTGGAAAAAAACTGATCACTAGAAACCTAGGGTACCCAAATGTTATAGACTTAATTACTTTCTCTTAAAAACATGTTAAATCTTTAACCTCCAATATGTCTGTATTTGGAGATAATACACTGCCTTTAAGAAAACTGTGAAGTTCAAATGAGATCTTAAGGGTAGAATCTCAGTCTTATAGGACTGGTGTTCTAAAAAGAGAAAGAAGCCAGGCACAAGTAGCTCACTCCTGTAATCCTAGCTACTCAGGAGACTAAGATCTGAGGATTGAAGTTCAAACCCAGCCCGGGCAGGAAAGCCCATTAGACTCTTATCTCCAATTAACCACCAAAATGTTCGAAGAGGATATGTGGTTAAAGTGGTAGAGCATCAGCTTTGAATGAAAAAGCTCAGGAATAGTGTCTAGGACCTGAGTTCAAACCTCAGTACAGGCACAAAAAGAAGAGGAAGAGGAAGAGGAGGAGCAGGGAGAGGGGGGGAAGGGGAGGAAGAAGAAGAGGAGGAGGAAAAAGAATAGGAAGAAGGCCGGGCGCTGGTGGCTCACGCCTGTAATCCTAGCTACTCAGGAGGCTGAGATCTGAGGATCGCGGTTCAAAGCCAGCCCGGGCAGGAGAGACCGT